CACAGGGATCAGCAGGGGAGGATTGTTCCTGTTACATAGGCGAGGTACTGAAACACAGGACAATTAAGTGATGCGCTTAAGACCACACAGGAAATTTGTGGGGGAACAGGCAATTAAATCAAACCCTCCCAAGTTCCAGTTTTGTGTTCTATCACTTAATCAACTCTCCCACCTACTTCAAACCAGAGCACAGCACAGCTGTTTTCAGCCACAGCCGGGTTTTTTTTCTCTTGCTCCATCAAAAAAAATCCTGAGCCAGCTGGTTAAAAGGGCTGTCATCGGCAGGCAAGAATGGAGGGTTAGGAAAATAAAATAGAAAAGATCTTAAGGGCAGAACTGAAAAGCAAGTCGTCTGCTATTTAACAAAGCAGTTGAGAATAATAGCCGGGAAAAAAGTGACATTAAACTTGCCTTGCCTCTGTCCTAGCATAACCTGTTAAACCATACTTCAGTTCATCATTGTGATACTAAGTGCTCTGTGATGGCAAGTGCCACAGAGCATAGCCTTTTTTCCTCAAGAAACTATTCGAAGTCTGCCCTTCTTGCTCATATTTGAATACTCTTGAAATCCTGAGGCAGTCTCAGCAGCACTGTTTCCACTCAAAACTTTCTGCATTTTTTATGGTTTCCACAGTGCCTTTTTTTGTGGGATCCTAAAGCTTTCTGTCCCTTCTACATATTTCTACTTAAGAGGAATCAACAGGTTTAGATTCTTAAATTCATTTTTGGGTGTGCTCGGGATAGAAATTACTTTGAAATACTTCTGGAAGGATCACAGGACATACTGTGCAGTCTCTTCTGTGCAATTCAATCTCAGGCTCAGTCCTGAAGGATGCTGCTTGATCTCCTGCCAGCAATACATTTGACTTGCTGTTTTGGAGTTTTATGACTGAAACTCTTAGATGTCTTTAGACAGCTTACGGCTGTTCTGTTTGGTATTGAGAGACATACAGCTCCTAGTCATCTCTGTGGTCAAAGGAGCAAAGGGAAGAGTACTTGCCTCCCTGTCTACTCTGTACTGGGAAAGGTCCCAGCAGAAAGATGAGGAGATTGAGCTGGTGGTGAGGGTGGGCTCTGCAAGGCTTATTTATGCTGCATTGCAACATTCAGCCAGTTCACTGAAAATACTGTTTTTATCATCCTACTGCATGAGTCGATAGCGATGGCTCTTTTTAATGGGCTGTTTTATAATACATGAGTCACTTATTGCTAATTGCCATCTATTTTGCCTTTGTAGGTAAACCATGGGCTATTACCCAGCAGTGAATTGGCTCAGAAAAGCAATGCCTTATTTATAGAAAAATATGAGAGACAGTATGTGCCAAACAAAAGCAAACAAAACACACAAAAAATTACCATGGCTTAATCTTCCTCTTTGTCTTCAACTAAGGGAAAGCTTTCAATAATACAAAAATTGAAAGGCAAAAAAAGGTTATTAAAAGCATTTTGAGGGATGCCAAGAGCATTCAAAATTATTTTCATCTTGCAGACAGTGATGACAACATCCCCTTTATGGTCAAAACACTTATGCGCCTCTCAAGAACTTGATTTTTGCTGGGAGACAGAATCTGGTGACTGCTGCTTCTTTCCACATCGCTTTGTTTCCTCACTCTTGGCACAGTGATAGGTATTGTGTGCAGCCCAGCAGAGCTGCCGGATTGTGGCTTGGATTCTTAATAGGATTCTCAATAGGGCCTGCTCTGGTGAGCATTGTTACTTTCTTGGTAGTTAACAGAGCATGAGTAGTAAGGGTTAGATGGTGAAACACAGTGACTAGAGACAGCTTGAGCCTCATTTTCTGATGATAGAAGTTGCCATTATACTGTGCGTTCCCATGCAGTCTGTTGATACAACTTGCCTTAATACACATAAATAGCAACCAGCTACCATGGGTATGATGATATCAAGTACTAAAAATATGCTAAAATGGCATTTGGACTTAGTGTTGCATACTAGGAAGAAAATTAATCTCTTAAATCACTTTTATTCCGTAAAGATCACCATAAAAATTTATGAGACTACAAAAAAGTAAATAAAGTCTTTAAAGCTGTGCGAAATCAAAGATAATGTGAACAATAAGGTACTCGTTTATCTTCTCTCATCTGTGTTGCCTTGTGGGAACCAGGAACAAACAAAAGATCAGAAGATAGGATTTGTAAGCTCTGGTCCTGCTTTGCTTCTTCCTCCTCTGTGACCTTGTCCAAACCACTTAAATTACTCCAAAGGAATCCTAACAAGGAATATTTTAACCATCAGTTCCTCTCCTCCCTGAGGTCATTAAACTATGGTGCATTTTTTTTCTGTTTCTAGAAAATCTGATTGGGAAAAAAACCCCAACGTAACTGAGAGATATAATTATCAGAAATATTTTTCATCCTTTACCAGCAATATTTAATATCTTTGATTAAAGGTCTTTATTACATTCTTTCTGCAGCCCTTTTGCCCATAATAAACACAGTCTTTACCTTTGTACAACCTTGAGAAGATGTTTCCCCTTGTTCCATTTACTGACTTGTACACGAAACCTCAGATCTTTGAATAGGCACTAAGAAACTTCAGTATGTATTTTTTTATTTTGTAGCTCTTTTCAAATACATTCTTGTCTATTAATTATGGCGGGCCTTTGTGGAGCAACATTGCTAGTTTCTGTGGATACCGACATTTTGACTTGCTGAAACTGTTACAGGTCCTCAGTGATTCAGACCTTTCACTGTCTTACTTTCTGCATGTTCTGTCTATAGTTCACTGAATTCGGGTAGCTCATTCAAAGTAGTGCGCAAATATTCTTACTACTTTCATAGCCTTAGAGACTATCTGCCAATTTCATTAGAAATTCTGGCACAAAAGCTGTAAGTATTAAGCTGTACAAGCACGAAGATTCTCAGCATCACACACAAGTGGTGAGATTCATGTTATCTCTGCCAAAACCCATCAGTTCCAGAGCCTAGAGAAGCAGCGGAAGAACTGGATTAGTGCTGTCTCGCTCTTAATAAAGAGATGTCAAGGAAAACTGGTGAATGGTTCCTATATGAAAAGTGAAAAAAGTGTAAATTTTTAGGTGTAAGGGTTATGTGGAAGTAACAATATCCTCATGTTTTTCAACTTCTAGTTCACGTATGTTTCACCATCATGGAACCATCACCCTCTTGTACCACACTGCCAATTCAGTTCAGAACAGAATGAATACCTACCAGCTGAAGGGGTGCGCTATAGGAAACACTGGATTGGCACCACTTCCATGCACTGCAAACAGCAACTGTGGAAAAATCTGGTCATGTTTTGGCAAAACTCTGAAAACCAGTGAAGTTTTCTCATTGCAGTACTCATCACATGGCACTTTCTGGGAAAAAAAAAGGCAAAAACCAATCCCCAAACATCTAACCCCAATGAACCAGCCAACAAAAAAGCAGACTGTAGCTCGCACTCTGTAAGCTGTTTTTTTTGCAACAACTTTAAAGTTGATCAGTCTGTGAAAGGACAAAAGTGGGGCTTAAACTCATTTTCAATGCCAAGCAATGAAATGAGATGCAATCATTAACTGTAATTTGACAGAAGTGTTACTGGAAACTTCCCCAAAAGCCTAACAAATGAGTCCTACATCAGGGGCCCATCTTGGCTAAAAGATAACATTTTGCCAGACAGTTTCTTGGCAAAAAGCAAAAGAGAGAGCTGACAGATCTATTGTCGTGTGAAGCTGGACTCAAACTTGTTTTCAGTAAAGGGCAGCTCAACAGTTTTAGGTTAACGGAGGCCTTGCGTCTAATGGTAGACATGCCTTGGAAATTTCGGATGTGCTTCAGTGCTGCCTCTAATTTTACTTAGAGCCATTAAAACCAAGTTGAACTGAAGAATCAAACTTTGGTTGAAATTTACTGATATCAATTCTGTAGCATCTTAGGTGTCACAGAGCAAATCTGTAAAACACCATGCATCTACTCCCCATCATTGTTTTCTTCAAGGGATGACCACAAGTTTTGGACATTACTGAATGCAATAAACCCTAGGCTCATTTTATGTGAAAGAATTACCACAACATTTAATTCAAAGTAATACAAATCACAAATGATATAAAGGAGCAATGTCTAAAAATAATCATTTTTCTACAAAAGGACTCTATAGTTAAATACTTTGGGCTTCCTTGGGTAACTATTTCAGAGAATTAGATTTCATGACAGCACGTGGAAGTCAGCAGATGATCCTTCAGACACCAACTGCTAAAGAGTAGTACGAGAATCAGCATAAGTTTTGAAATCACTAAGGAATCAGTAAGCCATGGGTAGTTTTTAATGGAATAGTAGTTGTCACTGCTATTTCAGTTTTGTTGTGGCCTCATTACTGATTTTAAAATCTTGATTTTGAGAGTGTAAAGTGGAAGAGGAAAGGGAGAAGCATACATAACCCCTATTCTAACAGGAAAATGTTGGATCCCTATCAGGAGGGAAGATGCTGTGGACAAGGAAGTAAGAAGGATGAGAAGGACACTGCTAGAAAACACAGTATTTAGTCTGGAGAGGAGATGGCTTTGGGGTACCAAGTGGCAGCCTTCCAGTAACTATGAGAAGGTTACCAAGAAGCTCTTCAGAGCAGTGCACATCAGGAGGCTGAGACAGCAAACTGAACCAGAGCTTCAGACTGGATATGAAGAATAACTTTTTCACCCTGAGGACAGCCAAGCAGTGGAAGGTTTCAAGAGCTGACTGGACAAAGCCCTGAGCAATTAGGTCTGATCTCAGTTGGCCCTGCCTTGAAAGTTCATGACTTTCTGAGGTCCACTCCTAACTGAATGACCTTATTAAAAACCAAAGACACACCACACCCCTCCCTCAGAAAAACTGCATTACGCCAAAAACCGAACCAAACCTTTGCATTTTACTTTCATTTTCCATTCTGGCTTGGGTTTGACCATGAAATTCTTATTGGCGGTACTGCACATTTACTTGAATTTCACAGAAAATTTCTCAGTATTTTTACAGGTTTAGGAATCACAATACCCAAAAAGGTTCATGTATTTTCTTTGGGACAGTTTTTATTATTTTTGCTACAGTATTTAAATTACAAGCTTGGGTGATAGTTTCAAACACAATTATTTACTCCTTTTGTTAAAGGAAGCTGAATTTGTTACAGTTAGTCCTTTCAGATGGCCTTGGTTTTTACATTACAGCAGGCAAACATGTTTTCTTAGGAGAGCAACATCCTTTTAGGTTACTGAGTGGAACAGTCCCCTATCACACAAGAATTTAGTCTTCCAATCTACTCTGCTTGTTTGATACTTCAAGCTTGCTCTCTACTCTTGAAAACCCTAAAAAGAGTTTCCCTTTTTGTCAGACTACTTCCTACTGTTTGTCACCAGAGCTATGCATTTTTCAGGTATGAAAGCAGAGACATTGGAAAAATTTTAAAACATGGGCTGTGCCTAGATCATAAACTTCTGCTGGTATATTTGGGCTGTAGAATACCTGCTTCCTTACTGATACTGTTCAGAAAACAAGCCTGTAGCGTAGTATGACTGCTACAGCACAGTGCTTTTCTTGGTGTAGTCCAGGCTGTTTGGGGTAAGGGTGTTAATCATGTCATCAGAAAGCTCTTTTTGGCAGCATATGCTGAATCTCGATTTTCATAAGAATCTCTTCAAAATAATTACACTCAAAGAATAAACTGGAGGTTTCTAGTAGAGTGCTGCATGTGATTAAGTGGCCACAACTTCTTTGAAGGTACAGTATGAGCCTGAAATCCGGTCATATTTTAAGAAATTACTTTTAACTATTGTCAAGTACTGAAGCATTCCCTGAATTTTCCTACCAACTATAAATTGTTGTACACCAGCATAGTGTGTCTCCCCTACTGCTAAGCAGAACAGTCCTAAAGACAGTGGCAGGGAAGGATGAAGAATAAATACCTATATGCAAAAGGCTTTAAAATGGATGGGTTGCGTAGGAAGCCTTTTCCCTCCGTTTTCTTCCTCCTTATCTTAGCTGTTGCTCAGGATTATTTTACCTCAAAATACTCAGACAAGAGAAGTAGCTTCAGCTATTTCTTTTAGCTTGAATTTACCTGACTGTAAGATCCTGACCCCTCAGGTAACTCGGGCAGAAGCAATGTCACCAGCAATCCAAGAGCACTGTCACATGAAGCAAGAGTTAGTACCATCAGCTTTTTATAAAGTAATGCCAACAGAAATTAGGTCCAGATTCAACCACTTGGTTGCAACTGAGGAGTGAGCAGCTCAGATCAGGAGCCGGGCAGCCTGTGCATATGTGCACCTTCTGCTCCCTCAAATCCTGAGAGACTTTGCATGTGTAGTACCTTGGCAGAGTTGGGAAAGCTGGAGACATGCTCCAAGTTACAACACAAGTGTAAGGTAGCTGAGTTACACAGACACCTGGCTGTTCATTCTTCATCAGGTATGTGTAAGTAACATTGGTGTCCATCCAGCCTCATCATGATCTTCTTGTAGGCAGTTCTGATGATACTAGTGAGTCTTTGCACTGCAAATATAGTACAAAGTGGACATACCAGGATTTGGGCCGCTGCTTTTAAACTGAACTGCTTATTAAAAATCACTTTGCCTTTAAATAGCTTTACAATTTTAAATAAAATAATTATTTTTAAATAGTCTTAATGAAATGAACCTAAAAGTAGAGGATCTTTGATCTCCGTATCTGATATACTTTTGAATAAATATTCTATATATACCTCTTGATCTTTTTGGTGATGAAGTGCACAAAAGCTTAAAATTTTTATGTAAGCTGATATCAACAGTTGTCTTTTTAGGAATAAACTTAATATCCTGAAACACTCAATGCAAAGTTACAGAAACCCAAAATATATTCTAACTGCACAGTCTCTATAAATACATATTTTAACTGAATGCATGCTTTAATTACTCTGTGAGTAAATAACCAAAAAAGAAAAATAGGATTCTCTTTAAAAGAACAACTAAATAAATAAACAAACAAACGCAGACTTCAAATAATAAACTGAACCAGCCAGTAACACTTTAAAATACAAAAGTGTCTTTCTCCTTTAGATCAGCCCAGCATTATAATACTCTGAGGACAACAAACAAAAAATATACAAACTACTGTTCTCAAGTTTCATTCTGAAATCAAAAGTTTCACTAATTTGGGTATTTAAAATTCGCTAGTTTAATATAAAGCTGCACAGGAGGCTCCCTAAGGTACAGATAAACTAAGCCTCCGCAGCGAAACCAAGAAGACAAATCATACATGCAATTTATTCTAGAAAAAAAAAAGTTATTTTAACTTTCACTTTAAAAACCCGTGAAGTATAACAGTGTGTTAGGAACAATGAAGCTCACTAAGAGGGACAATCTGCTCGCATATGCCAGAAAGCATGATCATTTAATGTTATAATTCTGAGCCACATCTTGAAGATTTCATTTCATAGTATTTTACAAAATAATATTCTAAACCTGAACACACTGCATCATACCACGTTAGTAAGCAAGGAATCACAGAGTGGAGTGAAGTGGACCCCTCAAAAATGCTGTTTCCTGAGGTGTAAAGGAATTGTTTCACACTAACGCCCTCAGCAGGGCTGGGACACTGTGCTCTGTACAAGAACAGTTGCCATATTTTGACCAGAGTGTGGGCCAAAGCCCTGGGTATCTAATTCTCACCTTCACAGTCATGTCAGTGTTCCCCTCACATACCACCCAGGAAGGACTAAGCACCAAGTAATAGTAATACCCATTTAAAATGACTCTTTGTACTCATTCAAATCTGTATAGGTCATAGAAAAAGAACAGATTTTACAACACAGGTCTCAGAACTGCAGGGCAAATAGATGTAAACATGTTTTATCTGCTGGACTGAGTGCCCTGGACTACTACCATGCTACGGATCTGTAGTGAGCCTCTGAATCTCTTCTGTTGGTTAAGTTCCACTTTATATCAGCATTCACCCACTGAGAGAGGCCGCAGGCACACAGTTCGGTGATCCTGTGCACTCATCTGGGATGAATCAGACGTGAGCCCTAACTGCAATAAAAATTCACAGACAAAGGCAAGGATCATTATTCCCCATTTACGGAGGAGAAACTGAGGCACAAAGTGATTACTCTAAGTCAGTGACATACCTGGACAGAAAACCCAGTTAGCCCCACACCTGCTACCAGGTGCTTTAAAATTGGCCAAAGCCACTTTAACATGAATAATTTAGTAAGCATCTTACTTTTGTGTCTGTGTTTAGTGAGACCAATGGTTTATTTTTAACCTTCCATTTCTCAAACGGCCCCCACAATACTGGGAGGAAAGCTCCAGGAAATTTAGTGAAGTCTGCTGGCGTATTTATCCCACTCATTCGCTATAACCTTTAAGACACAGGGTCAGTCTGTTAATCACCAAATGAGGGCTCTGTGAATGCTGCTGCACTTTTCTCACTCCACCCAAATAATTACATGGCTCACCAGGAGAATTAAAATGGAGAAAAACAATGTAGAAGAATAGTAAGACTTAGAATAAAAACAATGTTTCCATAAAACACAGACTTATTGCATGATAGCTGGAGGCAACACCTTTGCACAAACAGCTGTAAATTAAAGCTGTCTTTTACTAAGCTTCCAGAGATTGCTTACACAATGGGTGGCAATGGGAGAGCAGAAGACAGTTGATTTTCTTCTTTCTTCTTCACTTGCTCAAGTTGTTGAAAAGCTACTTGCCTACTCTCAAAAGGGTGATGACAATAACTTCTTATTCTCCCATACCACACTGCTACAGTTAAGAACAGATGTGAACATTTTGCCACCTGATTGCTAAACTATAATTTTCTTGATTTTTAAGTAGAAGTGTAAGTACATCATCAAATACACATCACCTGCAGGTGGCAAGTGTTAGAGAACTTGAAATCACATTTTTTTTCTACCATCTCCAATAACCACTGGTGATCTCTTACTGTGCTGTCTCTGCTCATTTCAGCTATGAGAAGGCTATCCAGTGTTTAAATTCTTCCATACGCTGCAATATTTGGGTATAATAGAAATCCATGTTGGCTGCAAAATCAGTACACACAGGAGATTCCATGTCACCAAAGGTGCAGTACAATGCAGTTCCTCCAATGCTAAGGAAAACAGTTGCTATGCACAGCAGGATCAGCAAAATACAGGAGCCACCAGCTACTTCATCTGTAAATGTAAAAGAAGAAAAAGTGAAAAAGGATGATGTACAAAGAATTTGTGTGAGAAAATCTGAGATTGGTTTTACCATTAATGGGCCAGGAGGTAAACACATTTAATAATGCTCACCGTGTCAAAGTGACCATAATACATACTAGGAACTGTATCTTCCTCTACCCAGTCTTTCAGAAACCTAAATAATAATATAGCTTCATTTCTGCAACCTGTGTACCTGTCACTGCTGATATTGCTTGCAGGGTCACACCACACTGACGCAAATACACTTTGAGAATGCTGTTCAGCCAAAGCCTTCCTTCATGGAAATGCTTGGAATGAAATGAAAGCTTTGAAACTAAAACAAATGGAAACAATCTTAATTCGTATTGACACTGACTGCACTATCATGAGCAATTTGTATTTGCTTTCAAATTTTGACTGTAACGATAGAGACAAAACCTTCAGGGTAGGCTAATGTGAAGGGTTAGCTTACATCTCTGTAGTAACTCTTTGCACAATTGCTTATTCCAGAGTAAGAGCAATAAAGAGGTTGCAGGGATTCCGCTGCATCCTCACAACCTCATTTATCCTTGGTAACTTGTATGCATGAATAATATCTGCATTTTCTGGCAGGTTGGAGGCTCTTAAGAAAATTTCTGATCTCCACTTTACATCAAGAAGAAGAAACAGGGGAAAAGAATTAAAAAAGGAGGAAACATTCAAGTATTTTTCTGTGGTTTTGAAATCAGATTTAAAATAGTAATAACTTTCCTTTGAATCATTAAATTCCTGGGGCAGGAAAAGAAAAAAAAAAAAAAAAATCAGAGAAGAAACTCTAATTGAAATTTCATTTAAAACCTAAATTGTTTAAAATAATTTCAAGAAAAATATGGTGTAAGCTCACTTTTGGGATGTGAATGGGTTTTATTTTCCTCCATTTAGTGGCTGGCACACACAGTGGGATACAGAAAGTACTATCATTAGTAACCAAAAGTATTTTTTTTTACATCTCTTTGGTTTGAATAATAGAGATGTTAAACTCCAAGAAAAGCATAACAAACTAATATATTATATTTCTTATAAGGCAGTTTAGCCCATTATAAAGGCAGTAAGGTGTTTATCCAAAATTAGTGCCAGCTAGCAAATATATGTAAATGCTTAGTTACAAAGCAAGGTTAAAATCTGATACCCTCCAATCCCATGGTCTACTAGAAAGCTTGGGAAGCTACCTGTGGACAAAGCACAACAGACTTCTTTCTTCTACATTCCTCTTTACCTACATGTATTAGATTTAGGGAGAAAGCCTACACCTCTCACCTCTAGACTCTGAACATTAATGAAAGAACATCCATTAGATGTCGCTTGCAAATCATTCGGCTGAAGGAAAAAAACTGTGGCACCAGTCTCAACCAAGCTTTAAAACAGAAGTGTACTTATTTTATCCTTCTGTAGTCTTGCACCTGGTATAGAATAATCTTTGAATAATTACCTACATTTATTACTTGGTTAAGAAAGCCCATATTGCTCTTATGAACAAAAAGATCAACATCATTTGCACCCTGAGAGTGCAACCATGAATTAACAGCTTTAAATTACCTTGATCCAATGTGTCTTCCATTTCTTGGAATCGCACTCTTCTCTTTGTTTGCCTTTGGTGGACTTGAGCAATTGTTTTTCCATCCCTGTCATCTCTCTTCTTTAGTATAGACACCAATCCTTCTGCAGGGGCAATCTATTAGGAAAGACAGTCAGTGGCACAAGAGATGTGAGAAATCCAAGTGTGGGATCTATTAAACAATAACTTTAAGGAGGAGATGAGTTAAACAATTAAAAGAACTTAAAAACTCTTCTTAAAATCGCAGCACTTGTGACACCTTCTTGAATACATCAATTCCTTAACATGCAGGACAGCTGCATTATCATTCTGATGACTGCTGACACTGCTTGCCCTTAATTAGTATCAATATTAAATATACGCACATTTACTTTTGGATCATACTTTATATTCACTGCAACAGTACCTTAGTAAGCTCACATTAAATCAAACGGGTTGGGGCAGCGGTGAGGAGGGTTCATGTCAAAAATGTTATCATTAGAGGGCAATAAGAAGCCCCATGACACACTGCTGTTGCCTCTCCAAAGATAAAATCCTGCAAAGGCTATCAAATACTTACTGTGAGATTAATTTTCCAGCACTGCAACTGGTTCCCCAGGGTGAACAAGCAGCTACAGTAAGGCCACAAAACCAAAAAGAGATAACACCAGGGAAAAAAAGAAAGCTTCAGCACTTTGGATAGATTCCAGCTCCATGTTGTCATAAGCTCTCTGGATACAGCAGCAGTTCAAAAATCCTTCCCACAGGCTGGTCACCCAAACAGCTTGCACAAACAGCGATACAGTCAACAAGTCAATAACTCATAACTTCTCTTTCATTTGCTACAGCATTTGGCTTAGCTGCAAGGGTATATACTAAGCCATTCTAGAATGTTACACCAGACTGAGCAGTCTATAATTTCCCAGTTATTAGATAAATGAAAGTAGGGGAAGTATCAGGAGAAAAAAAACCTTCCTAGGAAGCAGTTCCCAGTGTGCTAGAAACAAACAAATTAAAATAGGAGGCATATTTAGACATGCCCTCATTTATCTTGAGATCATCTTTACATGAAAAAGGTATTATTTATCTCTGTAAATCCGAGTAGCACTTACTTTGTAGATCACCAATGACACTGGTTAAATTGAAAAGTAATCTGTATACATTTGTGCTACAGCTAAGAAAACACATCACATTTGCAACTGAGTTTGCAACTCATCTGTGTAGGAGATGACCCCAAAGATCTCTAATTTTCACATAAACTAAAAGTGGAAAATAAACAGCTTCCCAGATAACACCGTAGCTGCAGAACACTGCTTAACATTCCCCATAACCAAATCAAGTTAGAGGACCATGCATAAAAACTTGTTTGCTTGGCAATTGTAAGAGCTGTAGAAAAAGAGAAAACAAGTCACTTCATGACTTATTCCCCTAAATTTGCTTCATGCTACAAACTTATGCAATGCAGCGATGCATGCTGTAACCAGAGATGGTGCACTGAACACAGTGAAACACAGAGCACAATCCAATAGGCATGGTACCAACTACAGCATTTGGTGTTTGCAACAGTTTAACTGGTAAATGTGGCAATTACACTTGCAGGTCTCTAGTCTGGCAGCATTTTATAGCCCTGAACTGGACAAATAATGTTGCCCTGAAAAACTCGAGTTGGTTATTGTGCCTACAGTCCAACAACTTTTCCCACGAGCACAACTGAGAGGATAAAATCAATCTCTGTCACACTTCCCCTTTTCATATGCACTTTCACTTCTGATTATCTGCTCAAGAGCTTGAATGGATCATTTCATCTGTAAAACTGTGGAAAGAAACTGTTTACATCAACATATGGAGTACCACTATTTGGCACAACTGAACCAGAGATGTTGTCTCATCACAACAGCCAAGTGCACTGGGGTGAGCTTTGACTAGTAATGTTAAGTTAGCCCTGCAGAACTGCCATGAAAATTTATCAGACTAGCCAGAAAACTGACAGTTACACCTTCCTTGTTGTCACAAGCAAGGGGGATCATGTAGGAGTGTATTAATTTGATTTATTTATTTGGGAGGGCAGAGGTGAAATAATGTCCTTCAGAAGAGTAGATTATTTTAATCTTTTGCGTATGGCATTGCTTTCATAAAGAGGATCAATGCTCCTCCTGCACCACCCCAGCAGCAGGCTTGCTGCTGCCTGGCACACGTGTTTGCAGGTGGCTTGTACTGCAATGGTAGCAATGTCACACGGGGCAGCAGGGCGGTTGTATCACTCTGCCCTAACATTAGTGTATGGTGGTCTGTTCTGGCAGCAGTCATTTCAAACTGAGACGCTTTGTTTTATCTGTTGGCTCCTGGTAGTTTTTGAATGACTGTCACAAGCTCTGTCTTCTCCAACCTTAAAACCAGAGGGCTGTCTTTGACAGGATTATGTGGAAACGTGTGTTTTCCTGATTACAGTTACGTAAAAGGCTTGCAAAGGAAAGTATTGCTCTAAACGAGGTTCAGTGACTTTCCCTGTCAGCCTACATGGCTCTGTTTCAGGATTTACTTCTAAATGTATAAAGAACTAATTGACACAGCACCGGTTTCTCTATTCTGAACATCTTTTGCCTGAAAAGAGGGGAGCTTTTGATTTCACAATAGAATGAGTGTGCTGCTGTTACTCTCCTGTCCCAACAAAAGCCATAGACCGTACTTTTAAGAATATCCCTTTTACATGATATATAATTCACACTAGAATGTTTCATCTGCCTTTGAATTTCACAAGTCACACAAGATTTTTGGTTTGTTCTGCAAAGGACCCACAACGCTATTGCCTCCTAATCACAATACACTTTATTGCTAAAAGTGCAAATACAAACAACTGGAATTTTGTATAAAGCAATATTTACATCTTCTTTTCTACCCTATTCTCAACTGCAGCTCAAAAATACTTAACGCAACCATCACCACATCTTATTGTTCTTATTTTCTGTCACAAAAATGCTATTGCTGTGAGGAAGACTGTCAGGTAAAGTCAAATCTCATGCAATTAGAACAATCGTAAAATGTATTTTTCTACTATACCTTTTATTTAGAAAGATTTCAAAGCAATATATGAACTGATTGCATTAGGTCCCTCTCCAATTAATTAAATATCCAAGGAGAGGGACTTAGCTGCCATGCAAGACTTGAAGTTTTCCATTCCAGTCTTTAGGAGGCAAGAGGAATTTAAAAAGGCGGATTACATTATTTAAATTGGAAGTTAACGCGGGAGCTGTGGTTAATACAGCTGACCACAGGCCTCTGCTCGACTTGAGCCACAGGAGGAAAAATGTAGGCTTGCACTAGGCCAGACCTCACACAGCTGTTACAAAAGAGAGCTGCAGAAAGGACCCTGTTGAAACACTGAAGTTTTCTTAAGTCCAAGTTACAAAGTTAACAGAAGATGCTCTTGGAACATGTCTGTAACTGAGCTTACTCACCTGGCTCTGGTGGCCTTCACGGAAGTCTTTTAACCAGAGCCCTTATAATTACTGTACAGGAACTGAAAATGGCATATGGGCATGTGGTGGCATTTTGAGCAACAGTTAAAAAGGAAAGCAGCAATGATTGTTGGTTAACTGAAACTCTGTTAATATCTTAGCTTGTCTCTTTTTACCACTATTGATACAAAGTGATTCTGCTTCACAGAAAAGTTCTAAACTTTTTTAGGCAAAATTTAATATCCTGGCTGTAAATAAAGAAAAACATAAACTCTAAATAAACCTCCTGTCTTTTCTGTATTTCAAACAGAATTTGCCAATAGGAAAAAAACCCCAAAACCTTCTTACATTATGCACATTTTTGCAAATACAGTGTGTGAATGTATGTATTTATAAACGTATTAGACAAAACTATGAAAATAAGGTCCTGTACTTCAAACTCCTAGAGAGAACAGATCACACATGACTACTGGAGTCATTTGTAGCATACAGGAATAAGTAAAAATCCCCAAAACTGGAGGCACTGAAAACTGGGATTCAGGAAGAGAAGTTCACTGTATGATGTATTTTGGTCTGAATGCAGAGAACCACTCAAGGAGTTTTGTTTGTGTATTCTTCTGTAGTCAGTATTCCTTATTCAGATACTTTGCAAAAGCCTATTTTCATTCAAGCCTAGTTTCATTCCTAGCAATACCAGATTTTTTTTAAGTGAGAATCCATAACTGTACAACAAACTGAGAAAAAGCAAGACTGCCCTGGGTTAAACTATAAACAACAGACAAACCACTATTAAAATATATTAGGTGCATAAATAATTTGACTTTGAAAAGGAACTGACTTAACAGATTCAGTGTTCATACCAAAGCATTTGACTCTAACCATTTTTCTGCTCATACGCTTGCCATGCAAGTATCAGGACTCCTTTCTACAGCAATAAATAGGTCAGATACCATGTAAGCATTTCATACAGAAGCATAATTCTTGCAAACTCAAAAGTACAAGACCCCAGCCATACAAGAGAACAGGGAATCTCACCAAGGCATTGACTCCAGACCTAGTACAGATAGGTGAAGACTTCATTTCTGCAATCAAATCTGCTGCTAGTCAGTACATACCCAGTACTTTTAAATAGTCTTTGTGTAAAAACAGTGCCAACCAAAAGCTACTACCTTATGGTGCAGTAGAGAGTATCATTATCTTTGCTTTCTGAAAGAAATATCAAATGATAATTTTTCAAGTAGGAAAAAACATTAAGATCTTACTTCTTGCCCTGATGTTCACTCAGACAAAAAGCTTATAAACTTCCAATTTGTAGGCAGAATACAACTTACATGATTTAGGTTACCATTTGTTTGACTTCTGTTGTGTGTCACTTCATTCTCACAGACACAACAGCAAATATATCTAAGAAGAGGTTATACACTTCCCATATCTGTTGCTGCTGACTGCTGACTGCTTCAAAGCTCTTTGTTAGCTGTAGGAATCTAGTTTCTATAAAATGACAGTGATCTTACACATTTGCATGTTGTGCTACACTGTTTCTACTAGAGAAGAAACACCCAGTGTAAAGGAGTGCACCATATATAAAGTACCATTTGAACTTTGCAATTATTTAAAGCCAGAGTCAGAATTTGTAGAATTTCAGTCTCATAATTAGTTACTGTAAATGGTAGGCTAAAAGCAAATGACGTAAAGGATCTAAATTAGAGAACTACATAATTCTTTGATCTCAATATGGGGTCAAACAAAGCTTGTCCTAACTGTAAATACATACACAAGTATTTACCCTTCCCCATTTTCAAGAAGTCAACATCACATCTCCACTGAAGAATATTAATGAAATTTTGCCCTCCCATATGATCTTTGTACCTAGGTTATTTCATAATAATCTTTACTTCTGCCTTCCTTCTAATTTATTTGTGGCAATATGCCGTCCATGAAAAGTTTTATCACAGCCAAATTGATTTATGTTTCAAGTTGTTTTGGTATGGTTTTTTTAACTTCTGTATGAAATGAAAACACTTATCTTATTAGATGCCCACAGCCTGAACAATGAAAATTTGAAGCCTTCAGGTGTACAAGAAAGAAAAAAGTGTTACTGCTGGGTGCAAAGATCAGTCTGCTTATCAAAACATCAGTGGAATCTTATTTTAGCACTGAACCCTCCTGTCTTCCTAGACAACACAGCAGTGAAAGCAAGTTAACAGCGCTGCTTTCTCAGGGGTGCCAAACTCTCTCAGTTCCTGCTGTCTTTCAGGAAAGCTTTAGGTGCTCATGCTCACCACTTCTGAAAAGCAATGCCTAGGGTAATGATAGGTGATAAGATAAACTGGGAAACCAAAATGCAAGTGTTTAATGAAACACCACAAGCTGCTGTGCTGCCCTTAACTCATGCTGCTGCACCCAGAAATTTCAAATATTGCAAAACAGCACCAGATGCTGCATATCACAAATGTTAATCGGTATTGAGATTAATCCTTCTCCCTCATGCACAGCTCCCAGAGCGCCAGCCAAGACTGTGCCTTGTATGGCCAGAAAAAGTACTATGGAAGAACTCAAGGTACTTTTTCCTCTCCAGAGACTTAACTCTGCCATCAGAGTACTGGCAGTCCTAGTATCAGGACAGCAAATGAGAAATAAAACTAGATTCCCTGTAAAGTATCATTACTGGTTACCAGGCCAATCAATACAAGTATATTTTTTCTAACAGTACTGACATGCTGCTTCCTATCCCATTCTCTAAAATCCAAATAGTACAAACATAGCAATTTAAAAACAGATGTTATAGGATTAATTTAGGATTTTTCCTACATGAAGCAGAACAGTTCTCTCCTGCTAAAACACTGAACTTCCAGTGGGCACAAAAGAAATCTAATCCGGAGGGATGATATTTAAATTATTCTTCTGTTATACATGTAAATAAGCTTAGCACAGACTGTCAAGAAAATGCTCTTTTTCAAGACCATCCTCTAAGCAAACAGAAGCCAATGGATTTAGGGCAAAAGTTTGATAACATGTCTGAACATGTATGTGGTTTTCCACATCTGCATGTTGTCAAGAGCTTGTGTGCAGTACAGTTTCATGCACATGGCCCTGGTACGTGGCATGCTTCCTGACATCCCACAGAAATACAAGGTGTTGTAGGGACAGGACAGGATGAATGATCTTGGAAAGGAGTTAAGAAGCTATTTAGGTGGGGAGAAAAAGAAAATGCTCTGTTTACAACTCTGGAGATTTTACCAAATACGAAATAACATCAGCATGGATCTCCAGTATTTAGTTCCATGCTTGGCTACTGTCCCTGAGTGATCATGGTGGTTCTTGGTCTCTGTGCATTAGCTTCTGATCTATACAAAAGCAGTCACTTTATTGCCAAGGGATATCACATTGTTAAATGCATTAAAAAAAAAAAAATTGAGATGAAACAGGAAGATACATTTTTACAAGTCTTCCCCCTCCAGCATCTGTAATCACATCACTGCAGAGTAATCTCATTTTTTCATTTAAAGAAAAAGCTTTTAAGGTCCCATGGTTGCAAACGCACCAAAACCAGAAGACAAAGCACAGATGTCATCATACACTCCCCCAAAAAATCCCAGAGCAATAAATCTATATTTTCAGAGAGCGATTCAGCTTATGAAGCACTTATCTTTGTTGTGGCCATCAGCAGTGCTTCAGAAAGGTGGGTTCAGGCTGAGAAGTTTTTTCTTAGTTTGGTTGATCAACAAACCTGTCTAAACTCAGCAAAATTAGAAGCCCACACACTATATAGAGTTTATTACATACATATGTAGCTGTCACCTATGTAGAACAGGCACAGAAAAGCAAATTTTAGTCTATGAATAGAAATGAAGCATATGCTACATCATACGCATTATGTAGATCTCAGACATGAAATTGTGATTTAACAGGAATTGCCAGCTCACCTCCTAACAGTCTCTGTCGGAATAAATAAAAAAAAAAGTTGCTCACACTCATATGTAGAAATCAATCTTATTTTTAGAAAGAGAGCACTGCTGGTTCAGGAGGCAAACCAACTTTTTTCTGAATTAGAACAGTTAAGTAAGTAAAGATTTCTTTTCAGATTAAAGAATAATTATATCTAAAGGAATATTTAACACATTTTGAAGTTGGCAATATCTAAAATACTTTAATTAAGATAACATGGAAGATTTTATAGGATCCACAGTATTTACCTCAGCAATCTCTATCCTTCTTGCAAGTTCGTCAAGAGAAGAAAAGCTGTCATCTAGTGATAAAGCTTCCAATGAGTTGTAAGATGCTCGTTCAGGTGAAATGTCTGGAACAGTATCAAAGTCCTCTTGGTTTTCTAAGTTTGCAAATGATTCTTCAGTGTCTATTATGTTACCATTTAAAAATCTGAGAAATAAGTCTTCTTGTTCTTCATTATTTACCTTCTCCTCCTCTCCTGCTGTTCTCTGTATTTCCTTGCATACTCGTGAATTGGCAGTACTCTCAGTCTCAGATACTTTACTGCACCCAGAGAATACATTTGATGCAATTCTGTCCTGCGAAGATTTTTCATCATCAGGCTGTTCATGTTGCTGCCTTAAATCACTATTTCCAAGCTGTCCACTAGTGACTTCTGAAGAGCCAGCAGCATGTTTTGATCTGAGCAGATTTCTATCAGCTTGCACATCTTTATCGGTAGCAACTAAATCAGTAGGCATATAATCAGCATCTGTTAAAAACAAAGCATCTACCATTGGCTCAAGAGGGAGTTTCACTCCAGGCTCCTCAGCTGTGACTTCTATTTCTTCCACATCCTTAAAGAGTGGTCCTTCTCTCAGCTGCAAACTGTTATCTTTACTGGCATCCCCAGATGATAAACAGCCCGAAGAAAGCCTGCCCACTGTCCCTGTGGACTGGGTGTGTGGCTCTGATGTTGATTCAGCACTGCAGTGCTGCTCCTCCATGTGGTCCTTTCCTGCAGCTACCCGAAGACTTGCTGCCTCCATCTGTCTCTCAGTTTCATTTTCACCTGGAGAACCAGTGCTCAGCTGTTGATCTTCTTTCTTTGGTTGAATGCCAGGACAAGTTTCAGTACCTAAGTTCAACAGGAAAAACAATTCCAGTGTTTTAAAATGATTCAAAACACCAGCCCAGGGGAAAGAGTATACTGTGATTTGAAAACGCTGCAACCTACTGCTTTAAAATGCATTCCCATAAAGGGCAGGTATTTTAAGCTCTAGACAATGCAAAAGTTTCATTAGTAGTCTGAAAAGCTGACTCCCGATTCAGCAAAGTATTCACACACATTCTTGCAGGCAAAGCATGTGCTTTAGTGCCCTCCTGGAAAGAGTTACTCCCATATTTCAAGCACAATATGTATGTATATTTCTCAACAGCCAGTTTTCTTCTATGGCATATTTTATGTGAGTGCATCTCATGGAGACCTGGAGACAAATTTACTTAACAGAAAATTGCATTTTGATGCTAGTGTATCTATCACACAGGGAGATACCTGTATTTGCTTAAAGCAGCTGACATCGTACTAATTTAATGAATTTTAAATTCAGTTTCTTTTAAGTGGGCAACTAGCTCCTCTGGTTAACGCTATATTAAATATCCACTATTTTACACAACAAATTGAGTAAAAAGTTGTTACTTTTGGATACATAGGTTAGTTTACATATTAAAAAATGCAACTGGATGCAACTTATTTCTGTATTCGCATTTACAATACAAATGAAAACTGACTTTTCTTATCTGAATTGTCAGTAAGAAACCAGGGGAATTCTACATAGCTTGTGAAATCACCTACTATTGGCATTATCAGCTCATGAAGTAGATGGTTAGCCCAAGTTGTTTAGGCTTATGAAGAGTAAAAGGGGACATTTAAAATTAGAACACTGAAGCAAGCTATGACAGAAACTTTCATTCCATACGTCAATAAAAATTAAGCTAAGACTATGTTATAGTAGGACTATTGTTACAGTAACTGTAACAACCTCAAACAACAAATGAACATTTCTAGAAAACACTCATTTGCATTTTTTTGGTCATAGCAAAAAGCAGAAAAGTCTTATGAATGACAAGATGAAGCAATGCCCTTATTAACTGTATACATTGTCACAAGAATGACTAAAGATCTCTATGCCAATCTTATCCTTCATCATTGGTTAAACCTCACCCAAAATCTGAGCAACTTCCTGAACTTGTTATTTGAAACAGGGTCACATTTGTTAGTCTTTAAAGAAATGTTTGCATTCATTCATTGTATTGAACAATGTTATTAAATTATAAACTATCCCCATTTTAAAGGATAATGAAATACAAGGTATCACAAAAAAGACTGGCTTGAAAATTGAAAAAAGGAATATCCAGCCATCTCAAAATGCAGAAAAAAAAACCCAACCCCAGAACAACATCAACAAATATAAAGAGTACAGGGAATTTAACTTCTGTAAAACACTGAAAGAGGAAATGGGTAGGAGACGGGACATTTTGAATATTAGACACAGATGAGTAGACAGCTCAAGGGATTTGTAATGGGATACCGAGTCCTTCACATACAGGTCATGAGTTCAAACACAGCCTGGATTATTGGTGCAAGATTTTGTTACCATCTGTCAATTTTTCCTTAGTGGATACATCCACATTACAACAGACATCGTTGTTGGCAGCTCCAACTGCAACAAATATTAAATGGAATTTACCATGAAGGGTGACCCTTGAGCTCAGGACTCTGTTCCTAAGAGAGTAATAAATGCTCCTAGCATCCTTATCAAACTACAGACATACAGCAGCTTTCAGTATTTTCTTTACACCTATTTCAAAACACCTGCATTAGAAAAGCCATGCCCACTATAGACTCTAGGCAAGTTAAAACAAATACTTTTTTCCTACTAAGTTAATGAAGATGTACCCACCAACATGGCAGTAATTTTTGTCTGACTGTCAGAGATACAGTTAAGTGTCTACTGGAAATCTTCTAGCACAAAAGCACTTATGGTAATTTAATAAATGTCCCCCTCCTCACCCCAGGTTATTTCCAACTTGACAGTTTGCTCATCACAGTAACCTGCAGCCATCACTTTTTTATCCTGTTAAGCCAAGACAGCCTAGCAGAGAGAGTACTGACCTATGACATTCTATCATTGGAGAACTCACACTTCTCCATCTTTGTCCTTCTTTCCATTTAAAAACAAATACCATATGATCTAAAAGTAAACAGGGTATAAGCAGTTTCTCCCCATCTTGGAAACGGGTCTATATGTACACACTGCAAAATTATGCTAAGCGTTTTATTTAATTAATAATTTTCATTAGAAAGAGTTTCATGAATCACATGGTTTTGATTATCTTTAGTTAACACTATTAAAGGCTTTCAGTGAGAATCTGAAGAATTTATGGACATAAAATGTATCAAATCTCATCTTTTAATACGCACACGTAACTTTAAGGGCCCAGGTCTCTCTGTTGGTAGACTCAAAGAGAAAATCTGCCAGAAAGAAATATGTAACAGAACAACTCTTGCTCAGAAGGGCAGAAGACTACTTCAGCTACTGTCCCAGGAATCTTGACCAGCCAGCTTCTTATCTTGATCACTGTATCCCCAATAGAGATCGTAAAATCTTAGGATCAACTGCCTACAGAGACTCCAACTATGTTCCCAAATGCCTGCAATAAGTCAATAGAGCAATTTTTGCTTTAGATCAGTAAGGCAACTGTGATTTTACTTTGAAGGTGCTACCTTAGTACAGTGCAACAATCTCTACAATGTAATATATCTCTCTGCATAAGCTAATACTTCTTATTCATAATTGATATATAAATTCTTATTTTGGGCATATGAATTCATATGAAGGACAGTCCTCAAATCACTTGAGAATTTCCCTTTTCTGACTCAGTGTCAGACTAACTCTACCAGCAAAGTGAATTAAGTAGCTCTCCTGAAGATCGGCAGATACATTTCTGGCAGAAGTTTCCACATTTACGTCTCATTTTTCATGATGTAGAGGAAAAAACCCACCCCAAAGAGCAGAAGACAAGCATTCTAAGTTTTCAGTTAGAAGGCCCATGCATTTAGGGTAATGCTGAACAGGTTCAAATATTAGGAACTGGATGATTATTCTAGCATAGGATTCTGCTGAGGTTCAGGCAAAATCAAGAACAAGCCCCAGGTGCCCCTACTCCTTCTAGTGCTGAGCTGTATCACTCAGCCACAGCTCAAATATGTTTTGTGCAGCCCATTGAGTAGTGTACACAAATTCAGAGTTATGGATCAACTTGTCCTTCTAACTGCAACAAAAACATTCAGCCCCCTGCTGCCAACGCGCTGACTCAGTGAGGGGCAGCAGTAGCTAATTTACCACGCACTGACTTAACAGATGAAGAGACCTGTCAGGGTGACAACTCATTGTTTCCTCAAGAACACACTGATCTTGTGAAAGCCATCTTTTGCAAATTTTAACCATTTAAATTTGAGTTAGGCTTGAATTATTCCTATCTTTGTACTGAAAAAGTATTTAGCGCTGCTGCAAAATTCTGTGTGTCATTCTATTGGATGGCACAGTTTTATTAATTTACAGGCATCTCACAGGAAAGCAAAGATTTTGATGACATTTTTAGAAGAGTTACATTTAGAGAAAGGCACAAAAAAATCCATTTATACCATTAATACCTTCCACATTAAGTTTGCACTACTGTATTTAAACATTGGCACAAAATGCTCTTTAATTCAGCAGTTTCAAATTTTCAGAGATTCTGCTCTCCAGAAAGCTCTCATTCCCACTTAGAATAAAATAAAAGTGCCTTTTTTCAATGGGAATTTCCAACCATCCAAAAATAAAAAAGCATCGAGTTCTTTCTTTTTATCTGCTTTCTGAGCTGTAGAACATGTTTGCTTCGTATTTTCAATGTTTTGTGTTTAGTTAGAACAAAGACAGGGAAAAGGCAGCATAGGGTTTAAGAGGATGAAGAGGATCCACAGATGTAGAGAACTGTGACACTGTATCTGTGTTAGTTTCTCGTTCTCCTGAACATCCTGGCTGGTACACGCCAATTAGGATTCTCTAAGTTGAAAGGGACCTCCTCAGGTCACTTAGGCCAACCTCTGTTTTTTTTTTTCTGGTGAGAAATTCTGCTGCTTTTGAGGAAAGGTACAGAGTTTAGGCCAATTTTGCAACTGGAATGTGGCAAAAAAACAACCCAGAAACTTCTTGCTTAAAAGAGAACACAGGTAAAGCACAGCCTGGCAGCCTACCAATGCTCCCCGTCTCCATTTTAACAATTCATTAATTTTTAAATGCTTCATAAGAACCCAATGACTTTTAACAAATTACTCAAACAAAGCAGTCAAGGCAGAAGGAAGAAAATGAAGCAGACATAAAAGTGTGTACTGAAAAAAATAACGGAAGAATATTTTTCTCTTCAAGACCAACAAAAAGCTTCCTAATTTTCTGTGCTGCTACAAGAAAAATTGTCTCAAAATCAGTATATTGCGTATAATTTACAATAGTTACTAAAACAGTTACTGCTGAATGGTTATCTATACTGAATTGCCACAACTCAGAATATTTGTCATCAGATTGTTTCCCTTATGTTTTATACATCCAAATTATGTACCTTATCTCTAGTTCTGTACAGTTTCATAGTTAATGTAGGCTGCTATAAATGTATGCACATGTAAAAGACCTTTTTTAATGTAGGCTAAAATTACTTAAATTACAATTCTGAATATCAACATCTCATTACAGCTGCAGCGCCCATTGTGCAGTTGTGGAAAAAAAAAAATTAGCATAAATGGATGAATCTGTGGGAATCCAACAAATGCTTTAGCCTCAAATGAAATAGTTTCAAAGTATTTATAGGAATATGTCAGTACAGTGGAGTATTTAAAGCAAATGTATGCACATGCACATACACACACAAATACCTGATTTAAAAGCAGCAGCTTCTCTTTCCTTTAAATGTTTTGATTCTGTTAACTGAAGCAAACAACCACTCTCCCGTGTATTTCCTGCAGCTAGTAGCTGTAAAACATGATAGTATTTCCCATAAGTTTTGGAATGAAACAGGAACACTGTGACTTTTTGAAACATCCAAACTTCAAACAGTTTCTATACTAAAGTGGAAATATTCTATCTAATAATATTTAATATATATTTATAGCAGTGTTTGACTAAGCAGATTCAATTAAACAGCTGCTTACCTTAGTTTTGCATGCCTGTGGCCTGCAGCAACAAAGAAGAAAAGAAAAAATTAAATAACTTAGTAGCAACATTCTTCATATCAAATATAAATGAAATCTTATAAACCTTTGCTCTCTTCTATTATTAGCACAGAACTTTTCTTACCCTGAAACAGCATCAGCATGCTAGCATAGTTTCAAGCACAGACCCATACTACATGTGAATATCATCAGAAGACTAATTAGCCCAAACACTGCTCCACCTAATTAAGAAAACAGTCAAAAGAAAACTTACTGCAAAATATCACAGGATTTAAATTCCTGTAAAACATTATGGTCAAACAGAATTCCACCAACTTAAAAATATCAAGTAAGGACTCAGTATCTACTAGTATTACAACTAATGATCATTCTATCAGAGACTGAAGAATGGAAAAATCCTCGCAAAACATTTCCCTCTCCACAGACTGTTTACATGGGACACGTTTCTGGGTACTTAAGACACAGCAGCTTCCACTGGGATTCACTGGTGAGTCAGCACTGCTAACAATGTGTGGACTTTGCAAACTGTGTAGAGATTCATGCACCATGTGTTTTAACATGCAGTGTCTACCTCTCAGCCTTTCATACAGCGATGAAGACAAAATGTTCAGCAATTTGTAAACTACTGAAAAAAGTAGGGGAGGCAAGAGGCAAAAGTACCGATGCTAACACTCTGTAACAAGAATGTTTAAAAGTCCCACTGACCTTTAAATTTTACCATTTAAACTTCAAATAAGGGACACTCAAAACTATCTTTAAAGAACAAACATGTTCAGTAATCAGAAAGGGTTACATTACTTTCAACTACAAAAGCAGAATGCTCAGATTTCCTGAGATCTGCATGCCATTCATTAAAAATTAAAGTATAATTTTAATTACAAAATAAATGGAGATTAAAGTTTGAGGAAAAAAAATAATCTTTTGCCTAGAGATTTCAGAAGGGTAATACTACTAAATACACAGAACTAATCATGGCAAATGAACACAAGCCTTAATTTTTATCAGACTGCAGTGTTTCTCAGAACCAGGAATGATGTTACATAACTGAAATTTTGTATTTTGAAGTGAGGCTGCACAGAAGAATCAGGAGAAAGCAGAGTTATTCTCAAAATAGTGATAATCGAGGTGACAATAGGGAGGTGCTGCTAGATGCAGTATATAAATTACAATAGATTTGGATCTCAAGCTTTTTGTGGGCTTGCAAGGTCACGTGCAAGGAAATTTAGGCTGAGGAACCCTGCAGGCAATCTCTCAGTAGCAGCAGGCTGTGGGTTCAAATACCCAGCCACAGGGCTAGGGCTGCTCCCTCCTCCTAAGGAAATGCAGAAGTACACTTTCCAGGTATTCCCACCCAAACAAACAATCCCTGCTGGGCTCTGGCTATCAGCCTGGTTGTTCTCAAACTTCTCTGTGGCCATCCTGAATAAAAAAACCCCAAACATATTCTCTATGAATAACAGGAGCATCTTGGCTTTTACTACATCCAGACTAAGCCAATGCAAATATATTTGAAAAAGTTATCTCTCCCCATCTGATTGGGAGTATCTCCCTCATCACAGGTCGGTCTTTTCACAGCATCTGGATGTGGTTAGTTTCCTTATTATTGTTGCCTGATCTTCTTCTATTGATTGGCACCTGATATATATATATTTATTTATTTATTCATTTTTCACATCTGTCCCTTAAACTCAGTGCCTAGTAGGTAGGTAGGTAGGACATTAACCCATGAAATAACAGACCTTCTCCTTCCTGATGGGTAAAATCCCATATGTGTTACTACCCAGAAGAGTGCCCTAGGCACTGTCCAAAAGTTTGTGATAATGTGATATAGTGATTCAGGAAGCTGATGGATCAGGTAAAGCATGTATGAACTAAGATTTCACATCTTTTCAGAGTACTGCCACTGTACGGAACTACAGAATCACTACTTCATAACATTTATGTAATCCACAGGAAATCAAGAAAAGATAACTAGAATGATTTAAAGCATTGGGAAATGTCCTAAAATGTGGGAAATTTGTGAATTAAAACCTTTAGGGTAGATGCTGGAGTCTAAGATGCTGGACAACTGAATTTAAAAACAACAACTAAATCAATAAGGTATCAGACAGAAGCATCATCATCAGTTCCATAGCCTCTCTCTTCCTAAATTAACACTACTCAGTTTTCACTTTGACTGAAAATACTAAAACTCAAAACTCCATTCCTGCCAAACTAATGACATGCTGGAACCAGATCTAGTCCCTGGGCATTTTTTAAACTGTACTAAAACATTGTGAAAATTCATGGTAATGGACAAATTTTAGTTACATATCCAAAAGAACCACCATTTTATAACCAAATTCACTGCAGTCAATGGATGCAACTTTTATTTTGACACTGACTATTTTAAAAGACCTGCACTAGCAAGGAGACAAAAGCTATGCTAAGGTAAGTACTGGAAAAGTAAAAATATTGTCTTATACGTACTGTTGATGTGAAGAGCAAACTCTAGTAAGCTTTTCCAGCTCTTCACCGCTCAGGTCTTTAGCTGAATTCCTCAGTGTTGTAAGTGGACTAGGAACTGCTGTTTTCCATTTTCTTTCTAAATTAAACCAAAATCAATTTAAACCAAAGTACTTTTATAAAAGTATTATTTCCTTAACATATACATGAAACTAATGGAGAAATACTGACAATTCTTCTGTGTGCTCTAAGGTCTCATTTCAGACTGTGCAAAAAAGCACTATATTTTTTCACAACACACTTCATTTTCATTGCATCAGATTCACCAACGCTAAACCAAAAATAAGCTCCAAACAACTGGATCAAAGTCTTAATTAATAAAGAATGACAAACTATTTGCACCTTTTTCATGAAATGTGTGAGAAGAAATCTAAAGCAGGAATACTTTTCTTGTACCAAGCTCTGAGAAATTCCAATATAAATGCTGCTTTTGCTATGTAACATTTCTAAGCTGGCAAAAAGTATACTCCATTATTTAGAAATACAAACCAAATTAGCTTTTTCTTCTGCCGTATCAGTTTAGCTTGTACTCACCCCACTGCTCCTGTATAGAAGAAAGATTAGCAAGCAGCTGTTCATGATACAGTCGTTCAAGCTGAATAAACTTCATTGCTTTCTCATCTGAATGGAAGGTTAAAGAAAAATGCACACATATATGCACATGAGTTACTTATATTCAGCAGCATATTTGAAAGGGCAATCATTATGTACCTGAAATTTTAGATAACTGGATCAGAATGAAAAATGGCTAGTATCCAGATTTCTGTTCAAGGAAGAACATAATAGAGGCATGAAAACAACAAGTAAAAAGTAAAGTTGAGAAAAGCTCTAAAAATGAAAATCCTGTTCTCTTCAGCAGTTACCTCTTCCCACCTGCCTTAAGCCCAACAAAAGTTTTTCTAGAAAAGAAACAAGCAAAATGTTCTTATGCCAACAACTCTTACCAGAAATTGAAAAGCAAAACAAATACCAGCACTTACCTCTCAAGAGATACAGTTATAAGCCAATAACCACAACTACCTGAAAATACGGTTCGTTTCTACTGACCAGCTGGAGGCAATGTTTAAAAAAATTCCCCCAACTCAAACTTTCAAGAAATACCCACTCTCCCCCTTTTCAGCCATTGTACAGAACACTGTTGGACACTTGAGTTCATCTGGTTTTCTTTCTGAAGATTCTGCTTACTCCTATATGAAGAACTCTATCCCCTCCTTTAGGGTTATCAATATATTCACAAACGTAGTTACATATTTTCAAAATATTCAGGATAATTCCAGTTCCATCAAACTGGAATTGCTGGTTTTTCTGTTTAAAGCCATGTTTTGCCAGCTATTTGGGATTTAATTCTACAGTAGAATGAGAACAGAAGTACAGTGAATGATGTTCTCGGTAATACAGAAAAAAACAATTTCCATTATTCATGTTTATTAAAACACTGGAGTAGTTATTATAAAAACACAGCCAGTACTTGTTATTCTTGTTAGCCTCATACATACCATGGCTTATGAACAACAATATTAATGCAAAGAGTATTCTTTGCCTTCAAGAAATCTGGTATTAAAACAGAATTACAGATGAGAGAGATAGCCTTAAAGGATCAGAGCAATAAACCCTGAATTAGTTAAGTTCTGCACTAGATAAATGAAAATGTCTGTCATGGATAATTAATACAATGCAACATGACCAAGTAAGTTCTTTGTTAACCTCAGGAAACTGATGGTTGCAAGTACAGAGGAGAGATCCTTCATAAATATGTATTATATAGTGGTGTTGAATTCCACACAGCAGGTGTACATTGCATTAAAAATATTCCCTTTGATCAGCTTTAAATAGTGCCCTTTGATTAAAGCAACTTCTATGAAAGAGAAACTGTCTTTCTATCATACTGCTGAATGCATTTTAAATTTACTGTATTTCTGCATGCAGAGCCATAATTTACTACAGATTTTTCCATGCTTTTAATTAGTGCTGTGTATTTTGCATTCTCTGTTGGATGCTTTTGAAATAGGATGACCATGACAGAAGTACAGTCTTCCAAGACAGTGAAGGGTATTTTATTTTACATATGCTTTTATACTACCACCAGAGTTACTTCTCTGGTTTTGCACTACAGGCTAACAGAATTTGTCTAGGTTTTGAGGATACCTTTCCAGGTTTCATATACTTTGTTATTTAACCTTTACAATTGCCTATTTGCTGTATTTTGCTTGTAACAAACTACATAATAATCTGTATGCACAAATTCTGTAATTTATGACTGATCTCAGTAAATCACATATACCTTAAGGGCTTGCCACTCTCACCTCTTCTTTTCATGGTCCAGTCACCTCCCTTCAAAGCAAACAGAAGTAAACCCACTCCACCTTTTCTAAAAATCTCATTTCACTTTATGGTTTAATTAATCTCTCCCGCAACTACTGAAAAAAAATCCAGCGTTTAGCAGCAGTTCAGCTGTTATAACTTCTTGACCAAACTTAATTTTACTATCTGGGAACAAATCAAAATAAACTGGACCATTGAACTGGCTGTTCCCAGAAGCTATTACCCATATTTTCCTACAACAGTTTCTCAAAATACCTTGATATGATTTTGACTCATTATCTACCAAATAACATGTTGCTATTTTTTCAGGTTGCTGATCTCCCTTAGCTCAGTGCGTTTGTTACTTTTACTCTAATCTAGACACTTGTAGTACATACTCTAGTAAATGGTTGTGATAATTTTGTTCTTACTATAACTATGCCCTATTTGAAATAACAGAATACATACCCTATCTAGATTGGACATATTCCCAGTTACTAATGCTTAGAACAGAACTACTCCTATAAAAACAGAAGTTCTTTGAAAATATTCTCTTACTTCCTTGTTTATGCACAACTACTAATGATTGTATTGGTACAGCTTTTGGAAGTGGATTTATTACTTAATTCATATTCCAGCTGCCTGATTAAGAGGGACTTGCTAACATATTGTATATTCACTCATGGGTAAATTATACCTGTTCACTTCTTATTAACCCTGACCCACAACCTGTGAGTCAATACAAAGCATTTCTCTTTTATGTTTTATCATGACAGATTATTTTAATATTGGGTCACAATTTCAACAAATAAAAGGATACATTCCTCCTCTTGAAAATAGGTCTCAGCTATCTGCAAAAGTAAAAAAAATAATCAGAATTATCATTTTTGTGAGGGTGATAATGATGTAATATGAAGTTTTTATCACAGTTTCAAACATCTGTTTTGCACATTCATATTTAGTTTGGATAAAATACTAATGTTCAGAGTAAATACACGTATTCTTATTCTAGGAAAGATGTTTAGAAAAATATCAAACAACAAAGAAATACTAAGTGTTATCACACAAGTGGATTTGCTCAAATGTTAGTTGGGTCTTATGTTGTTACAACAACAAAAAACTATTTCAGAAACTTTTAAAATTATCGTATTAGAAAGTTTTAAAATTACCTAGAAGTACTGTGTTTACTGATACGAGTTGAAGAATTTGTATTCTGTTACTGACCATTGTTTCCGTATGTTTGACCAAACTGAGATCAATACCAAGTTCTCCTGAACATTGTGATAAAATAGAGAAATTGAGGTTTCCTGACTGATGAGAAAAAAACAATCTTTGGATAAAAGACTCTAAAAATACTGCCTATCACTGCACCAGAGATATACCAGTGACCTTCCTGCTTATATCTTATTTACTATAAATGATTACAACAGATATTTCGAGTATATTAAGTTTGAAAAATTTACAGTATGAATATTTGAAATTCATGAGATAAACACAAACAGACTCAAGCTCTTTATTTCTCTCTGTATTACTCCTAGACCACCCACAGAAGGCAGACAATAGCACTGCAGCAGCCTTCTGCCAATTCCTTTCCTGAAGCTACTCTGCTGTTAAAAAGATTTAAGGATCCTCTACCTCATGTGTCAGTTCACTAAGACTAACATCTTGATATCTGAAGCTCTTCAACAATAGAGTAAGTCATCCAGTTAAGCCAGACGGCAGTTCTTTGATTTGCACTGTAGTTGTTATGACATGGAACAAAACTGTGGCTCTTCCTCCTTTAGACTGACATTTCTATAACAGAACAATTAAAATTGGATTTGTAACGAGACAGCTCTGCCAAGGAGGACCACTGGATAAAAAAAACAGCTCTTCAAGACTTGTTCTCTTAGATGGATCTTAATACAGATATGTCAAAACAAAGAAATACCAGAGAACTGACACAAGAAATAAGCAAACTTTTGCCACTGCATTTAAAGCTCAAAGTGCTAAGGAGGTTTAATATAGAGAAAAAAATCATTCCAAAGTAATTACAAAGGAGAGGGAAAATCAAACCTAAGACAGGCTACATAAAAACGCTTGAACACCTAAGTGAATATCTGGTAACTTCTAGCTTTACAAAATGTGTAAGCTCACATTAAATGGTGCTGTAGCAGCTGCTATGTTAGCCAATGGCTAGGAATTGAACAAGGGATCTCTGCCTAAGCATTCAAGATGTCTAGCTGCAACATCCTAAAAACAACTTCACACTGGCTGGGTAATTTTATTATACCTAACTTTAACAGATCACTGCGAAAAGGAACAGTAAATATATGATGACCAAGGGTTTATACAATGAAAGGCTGTGTATAAACCAAGAACACAGTCAAGGAAACGTAAGAGAAAATTATGTTCCAGTATACTAAGTTATTGCTATATCAGAGCTACATATTTTAACTGCAGACTACAGAAATAGCTTTCCTATCCTCTTCCTAGCAATGCCTTGGCTTTCAACCAGCTATGTCAAAGCCAAAATTAAAAGCATGGAAGTGGTAGAACTTCCAGAAGAAGTATCAAGATGACAGTTAGAAGTACTTTTTCTCTTCATCAAGTAAAGGTCAGGGTTTGGTGGGGCGGAAGGCAGGTGTTTGTTTGGTTCGCCTCTCCGCCCCAACTCACATAAAGGATTATTTCTTGGACTAAAAGGCTAAAGACACCATGGTACTACAGTCCATAAAACCAACTCAGAGAAAGTAAGTATCCAAAGACAGTCAGAAAATGAGTGTCTTTCTAATCAGAAATAGAATTTCACTTTGACTCCGAGTTGGTGGTGGTGAGTATAACAGAAACGATAGAGCCGACGCCTGCAAAGGAGAAGGTGTTAACACTGTGGTAACCTAAATGTTTTCTTCCAATTCCTTCCTGTATACAAATAATCGTTGAGATTTGCAACAACGGCTTATTTGTGTTTGCTAAAAAACTGGGGAAGCTTTCCTAGAAAACTGAAGAATACGGATGGATTTGTTTGTAAATACAATAAAATATATAAACTTCAGAAGTAAAATTATTTTGCTTCACAGAACTCTACAGCACTGGTGACCTTTACAAGCATTAACAAATCAGTTCTGAGGGACAGCAAATGCTGGCAGTCTTCCTATTTGCCATGCATGGTGTGGCAAGGGCCATGCTTGCAAAATGTGCCCAATAACTGTAGGTACCCTGATAAATGAACATTCAGGTTAAGACACCTCATAGCTGATATGCTAATGACTTCCATGACAGCACACAAACATTCAGTCTCAAAATCTTTGGGGCATATCAATTTAGGGCCTCACAGCTTGAAGGGCTTGACAAGTGGGCACTTTCGTTGAAGTCTGATTGCTCAAAAAAGACAGCAACTTGATAGAGGAGTCTAGATTACAAATTGTGAATTCCTGGCTCTCAGCCTTATCACTAACCACTAGAGCATTCTGAGTTCAGTACCTCCAAAACAAAACTGGTAAGCGACTTCTAGGGTTCTTTATTAAGAACTTTTGTATTTCACTGTCTTTTATTGTCTTAAAAAATTTCTGTGCCTTTTCTCTGCTACCCACAGTAGCCTCCTAAGTATTTCAGGATCTGCTAAAGCTCTGTATCTGTGTTTTAAATATAAGTACTTCTAAGATTCTGCAACAAATGCTAAACAAATCACATGAATCCCATCCAAGGCAGGAAATAGTATCTTATTTCAATTAAAAGTTAACCCTTAGAACAGCCTCTAATATCCCACAGCCTTTAAATATTCCATACAGGCTTTCCACTAACAACATGAATTGTTAACACTCCAGAACATTTGACAAAGCTCTTTAAAATGAAGTAGAAGAGTATTTGCTAGACTTGGCAAAAAAGAAAGTTAATGCCAAGCTGTATTAACGATCTGAAAAAAAGACTGAAGATGTCAGGTTAATCTGCTGGAAAGGGAAAAAAACATTTTTAATAGACTCACTTTACATGAAAACATGAATCCCATCTTTAAATCCTTTCTCTCAGATTAAAAAGCGTGTTATGATCTTTCTAAATTCTGTTTCTTTCAAACACTCCATTCAAATGCTTGATATCTCTTAGGAAAAAAGAGATGGTGATTCATCACATGTTTGAATCTGGAAATGTAGATTCTATTCTCAGTTCTGTCACAGTTCCTGTACGACTTTCAAGAGGTTATTACCCTTAGGGTTTGGCTTCCTCACCCAAAAAGCTGGACAGGTTTCACCTCCATCATGTTTGATGGCACTCCTTAATGTCTGTAAAGCATTTTGAAGTTTTTGCTTTAACTGTGTTTTTCTCAAAACTGACCTTTGTACTAACTAATGAACAACCACCAAATTTGGTGTGACTACAGGTATAAATGGTTAACCTTAATGCTAAGTTGCAAATAAATGAAGGAATGGTATCAAACATCTTCACTAAAACACAGATTAAAAAAATAATTTAAAATTCTAGGTCAGATGTAAATTATCTGTAATTTGCAATACTTAGAAACTTCTTTTGCAAATATAACCACTTATTTATATCAAAGATAATAAGAATGTAGGAGTGTCATCGCAGTTTAGGGGTTTAAAATATCACAATCATCTAATTTTCTACAATAAAGATAATACAACTAAGTCAACTCAGACATTGTATAGTATCTATTTATATAGCCCACATTAGACACTACAGCCAAACAAAACGTCTTCTAGTCCACTGTTAGTGTGACACAACTAAACACAAATTAATATTGCATCAAGTCCTATCAACATACTCATCTTGCACTATAATCTCCAGAAAGAAAACCATATTGACCATTTAGTAAAAGAGATTGCTTTCCAAATCACACAGTATTTCCTTTGGTCTTGCTAAAGGAAAGTGAGTTGCAACTATGTTATAAAAAAAAAAGTATACACTAAGAAACCTTGACTCTTAGCATTCATGAATGAAATTCATGCTAGAAAAGTCTGTAACAGCAACAACAATTTGAGATTTAAAATGTTAGATATTACCTGTCCAGTGTCTTACAAACCGTATTTAAGTTATAATGAAGAGTGATTTTCCTAATCTTTCAGCCAAGTTAGAATTTCATCCTTATGGAATTGGAAAACCCATCTTTTAAGAGTTTCCTTTAATTGAAGAATATACTTTCAAGGCAATTTATAATTTACCGTATATTAGAAGACCTTAGAGGAGATACTTTCTGCGATCACCTGTTATACAATCAAAATACCCTGTCCAGATAGGAATACTGGCATATACTGAAATAAAGCATTTCTTCCTAGTGAATAAAGGTCTCAAATAAAAACTGTGTGCAGCACCTCAGAATCATAGGAAGTACCTGATGGAGACACAGGGGCAGTATCTTTGAATCCATCTGCTCAACCTCTTCACGGAGCAAAGAGAAAAGAGACTGCAACGTGTGTTTTTGTTCTTTCTGGTGGAAGTTTTCATTTGCTTCAACAGCACATTCAGCATGCACAGGATCTGTATCTGTAATAAGAGTATTTTCCTCCTTGATTGCTGTGGTTCCCACTGTAGGAACTCCTTGAAAAAGAACAAGTACTTAAGTTAGGATTCAGGATAGCAGGAAGCAGATGATGACAGAGAAGCATTCTACTGGGGAGCACAAATGTCCAAGAGGACTGTCCCAGGCAAGGTGAAAACGGAGAGCCCATGGCTAGTTGGAGTTTATTTGAGAGTCCAGGGAACTGAGCCAGTAGTGGTGATCTACACTGGTAACAGTGACACAAGGATGTGTAAACTGAATATAGCATCCAGAACTTCTTGCTAGGCAGAAAACTAGGCTCTCCATGGTACATTCCCTGGCAGTCCAACATTACCTGTCTCCAATTTTAAGGAAGTCAAAACAAAAGTCAGACATGCAGGGGGAGGGCTGGCAAGGTATTTGAAAGATAACATAAAGTGTAACAGTATTAAAATGTTACAGGAAAAAATTCCTGGGGGCAAATCCCACATTTTTTTGTTAGAAACGCAGTATTTGTAGTGTACTGCTGATCATCAATATGATAGTTAGCACAAAATATTAAATGAGATAAAGAAGTGTAGAGCAGGCAGTAGTAGCAGGAAACATCAAGTACCCATATACAGACTGGACCAGTTTCTCACAGAGAATAAAAGCAACAAATGATGCCTTCCTACCACACAGTCTTAGGAGTACCCAGAAAACTACAGCTTATTCCTCCAATTAATGATTTTTTTTCAATAAAACAATATTGAATTTGATACATTTACGTAGGACTGAACTTCTTAAGAAGTTCTCATATTTAAAAAAAAAAAAAAATTTAGAGAAATTTGGCCACCAAAATGTGCACCATAAACTTGTTTATAAACTTAAGTTATGATGAGGATGAGTATGTTATTCGCCCCCAGCTGTACCCGTTTGCTGAAAATCATGTTATCCTTTAAAAACAGGACAGGTGGGGGCACTTTCAAGAACAGTCATGCTTCAACTGTTTCTGCAGCTTGGGCACTCAGCATATTTCAGACTCCCTTGTGTTCACTGCAACTGAAACCCTATATGAAGATTTAGGGCTTAAGAAAGGTATTAGCTGGTCCACAGAAGGCTCCACCATTCTATTTTTGGTCATTTTAAACTCTTTATTAAGTAAACTATCCAGGTCAGGAGTACTAATAATCTCCATGGGTGGCTATTTCCACAGGGCTTACTGCCAAACAAAATATGGCTGTAACTTAACATTGATTTTTCAATATTAATGAATGTTTCTGCTTTTCCACTATTTATTTGGGCTTTCTGTGGGCCAAAAGCAACAACAGACATAACTGGATGCAAAATACAAACCAGGAAGTACTTTTAGAGATGAAATTAAGGTTGTTTTTAAAAATACAGCCTTCTGTTCAGCACAAACTAGAAAAGAGAGCCCACATGTTCTGCAAACCTCTTCTCTTTGGTGGGTGGGTGGGGAGGGAACGACATGGACACAAACAAACAAAAGCCCTTCAAACTGCACTTTATTAAGCAGTTAATAATCACCCATCCTAATAAAACACAAACCTTGACTGAAACATGCTCAGTAGCAATTACCATGCAAAATCTTCATTGTAATGTTGTTGTGGCTCTGTTGCCACATAGTTTATAAACTGCACATTATTCCTACATATAGTTGAGCTATCCCTCACTTGGAATCAAATTCTGCCCTCAAACTCCTCCTGTGACTCTGAAGCAAGGCCTTTATAACCATTTGGGTTAATTTTACCTTCTATTTTGAACACAAAACAGCATTTGTGCCTTAGCACTAACCAAAAACTTTCCTTGAGAAAGTAACACTTGGTAATGCCATTTCATCATGAAAGTGTTACGGGTTAAGATCCCTATTTATTTTCCTCCATGTTCTTGAAAGTAGCATACAACATGACTTTTTCCTGAAATCATTCAATCTTAGTACAGATGATATATTTTTCAGTAGAGACATATATTTCTGATATTTTTAAGAGGCCAGGATTGACCTTTTTCACTTCGCAAACCATTGATATTTACTCTACACTTGATATTTGGTTCCATACTAGAATGGAACCAAAACCTTTCTGAAAATAAATGTGAAAAAACCACAGAAGAATATCAGCTCTCCAAAGAGTGCTCCGTAGAATGTGGCAGGGAGCTAGGTTCAAGTTTCTGCCAGACTCACAGAGGTTTCAGCTGACATCTTCTACGCCCAATTGGGTGAGCCAATGTTTTTCACAAGACATGAAGAGACGCAAACTTCCTCAAAATTTACCTAAGAGTTCACAGAAGGGGCCCCATGTTTGCAAAAAACCCAATTTTGACAGACCTTGTGAATAAAAATGACATTTTTTTCAATACTTATTTTTTGTTCTGTCAGTACTGCAAGCACATGAAATTAAGATGCTTTTGCCACCTGCCTAAGAAGTCAGAGGTGCACATATGAGGCATTTGCTATCAAAATAAAATGATGGATATTGTCCTCTGGTTTTTAATTGAATTTCAATTTGCCCAAGTCACCAGTAATGTTAGTTTCTAGCACCAAAAACATATGGCAATCTCTCTTTTTAAACATTCTTTGGTACTCAATACCAGAAAGCTGGCTCAGTGTGATTCATTCAAGAACTGTTTAAAAAAAAAGAAAAAAAAAAAAGACCAGAGAAGATATTTCAGACAGGAGTGTTGGTGGAAAAGATGCTCCAACTGAGCAAGCTCCAAGTCTTGTTTAGTGCAGACCCTAAATTAAATAATACTGCTTGATTTTTAATAGAATTGGACTAATTTATATTCATATATTTCATTTGTTGCAACACCAAATTCATCCCAACCATTCCACTTTCTTCCCCCACCTTCAAGCTGCTTCAAGAAATAAGTTGAACAATTTAGAGGAAAAGCCTATGTTGCCAAATTTAACTTGGGAAAAATCTATTAAATGTAAGTTACAGTGCTGTGCTACCTTAAGCAATTACACACTGTGATTTTACAATATTAAGTTACTAGTTATGCCATGACTGATTGTTTGGTAAAAGCTGAAATTATTTTCAGTGAACAGGGATAATTTGAAGTCCACATTTACAAAAATGCATTGAAGCAGCTGCCACTTTATGAATCACTACATGAATCTATAGCATGAAAGTTAATACGACTCATTACAAGGAATCCAAGTATGAATAATCACCAAAGCTTAAATCTGTCAATTTAAATTTACACCACTTCTTTGATCACCAGTGTCCTCCTTAAACAGATATAATCAAGAGTCTTTTCAAAACTATTATTAGCATTCAAAAAGAATGTGAGAGAGATTTGGGATCTGGGATCTACAGACCTGTCATTTCACTCTACTGCAGCACCAAGACAGCTAAAAGGAGATGCTTCATCAAACAATGCTTAGGTGAAACCTTGGTGCTGCTTACTCCAGGATAAGGAAATGGGCTCAAAAACCCAACTGCCAGTCAGGTGACAAATTTACTGTAAGCTATTACAGTCTATCTATTTCCATCTGGGGAAATCCTGAATGGATCATTGTTGATGGCAAGGAGAAGACATGAAAAAAATCACTGCCTCTGTGCCTTGTCCTTATAATCTTACCTACCCATCCTTTATTGGCCAGTGTCTGAGGAAGGATATTGAACTAGGTGAATCTTCAACCAGACACAGTGATTCTTAATCTTGCATTCTGGTTTACTGATTGTAGGAGCTAGAATAATTATAGCTCCAACATATTCTAAGCATCTACGAAAACATAATAATCAGATTTACAACTGTTTATGCTTTGTAAGCAAATACTTAAAGAATGTCAAACCCATTGGAAGTGTGAGTACTTGTTCTTTATTAAATAAAAAGCATGTCCACAGCAGAAGACTGACTCCTCCAATGATCACCAGTCTTCTACTGAGTGAAGTCCCAAATAAAAAACATGTAGAATGTAGTCTTACATATTCCAGTTTTATTGCTTTAGTCACTAGCAGAAGAAGGAATAAGAATAACATGCCTCCTAAGTAAAATGTCATCTTTTCCAGAATGGCAACACTTAACAGCAACCCTAACACGTTTGCTTATAGGAAAACAGAAGATTCATAAAACCTTTCTTTAGCTATAAGTCAAAGTAACTCAACCACGATTTTTCAATACTTAAAAATAAAAAAAATCACCATTACATGCCACACAAGTATTTAGGCTGTGATTCCAGATTGCTTGTGTGGCACTCACCCACTCAGGGGTCTTCCAGTCTGGTTTGATTATTCTCTCCTTTATCTCTGAGTTGGTATAAAGACTAGAAAGAGGGCTACTCAGGAATTGCTTAAAATAAATGGTGTTAAAAAATAAATGGAAGATTCTCACTGAAATAGATTTGTAACATCAAAAAATTGTGACACAGTCACTGCATTGCATGAAAACAGGAGAACCATCATGTGAGAACATCTAAAAAGCTAAATTAGCCTGTAATCAATGGGAAATAAAATGTAATTTTGTATTTTGATCGTCATCCTATAATAGTCAGGGGTCTTCATCAGCAAAGTAGTAAGAGTGTGTTCATAGGAGTTAAAACTCTTAACAGGCAGGATGTTCTCTGTGATGGCATTTCACATTTCCAGATTTTCCCATAAAATTTTCTATTATTTCATGTTCCTGCCTTTTGGCTTAAAGCTGACATCTACTGTGCACAGCTCAATCTGTGGTATTTCTGTATCAGTTGATCGCATTTCTCAACACCACTACTAACAGAAAGAGAATGCAAAGAGAAGTTTGTATTAGCTTTCAGTGTTTGGGCAAATTTCTCCTTTTCCTCTGTTTCCTTCTGTTCTTCTTATCACGCTTCAGGTATCTCTGTCCACACATGTGTATCACATTTCCTCAACTTGTTTTATGTTATTCCTGTCATACGGATGACTGGTTCTGAATTACTTCTGCCAATCTCTTATTTTAAATAAGTATTTTCTTCTCTTTCTAAACATTAAATCTACAGTTTAAACACATACTAAATGACTTTCTGCATCATTTAATAAGAACTCATTCTCCCTATAATGACAGATATCAGGATTATCTTTACTAGAAGATACAGTTCTTCTAGATTTTGTCTAGATGTGCAAGATATGAAACACAAGGGTTCCTTCTTTTCTCTTCTTTACTTATTTTACAATTCTGTAAGGTCATCATCAGTTTTCAAATCAGGTCACAAAAGACTTGCCATTTATCAAGAAAACTGTATTTTAAAATTACCTATTTTAAGTAGCCAAATTCCCCATCTTCTCAATCTTTAGGTGGAGGGGAAAAAAGAAAAAGATGGGGGAAAAAACCCCCAGGCATGATTCAGTTGTTCCAAGTAACTTTCAAAAGATACCGATGCAATGAAAGACACACTGATTTTAATGAATATATTTGCAGCACTACAGACATAAGCTTTATGATGAAAAGCCAATATAATAATAGAGTTGATGCAGACAAATCCTGCTTATTCAAAAAGGGAAGGAGCATCTCAAGAGCACATAATAAACATTCACATTTTCCTTATCCAGTTCATATCTAAGAGATCTAAAGGAGAAATAACAAAAAATTGGTAGAAACACATTTCTGAACAGCTCATTTACCCAAAATGCACTTCCTGGGAGTATCTGTTAAGTTTTGAAAAATCAATGTAAATTTTGACCACAACAGGCCAAGATCAAACTATCTGGTAGTTTGAAATCTTGGCGACCGAGGTTTCAAATCTTTACACTGGATTTTTATGTTCGAATTAACAGAACCATATTGCCTGAAATTCTGGCTATCCTGATTTGGAAGTCAGCCCAATTTCCATACTGAAACTCCACAGCTCCCTGCACTCGTGCTTCCTTGATATGTTCCATTTGCTACATAACCAGTGTTTTAATACAGAAGGATCTAGAGTTGTATCTGATTTAGAACTATTAGCAATTCTGAGAAAAAAAAATAACCAACCAAACCAAACCAAACGACAACCACACACCCCCAAACCCCCAAACATTTAGTGACATTTTAAAAATAATTAGTATGACAACTAAAATACATCTTGTTTATTAGTTCACAGAATTAGAACTGCCGTATTGTTATTTTAAGCAAACAGAACAATAACACATTTTTATCAAGTACCTTTAGATTTTTTACTGGAGCTTCTTTTGCTTCTTGGACTTCTTTTTCCACCTGGCTGTTTTTCTGCAATTGGCTTTTCCTCCAGCTGGGGGTCCATATGGACATTCACAGACCTCCTCTCAGTCTCCTCCTTACAGCCTGGGGTACAGTCTTGAGTGTTTATATTCTCATTATTATTGATGCTGTCCTGCTCACCTTTCTCCTGTTGTCCCATAGCAATGCTACTACTGGTCAGAACCTCATTGCCATCATTGTCAAGTTGATTTTCATTTTCATCAGCTGAAGAAACCAAATGGGATGCCAAACTTTCCACCCTAAAGTCAGCAGGAAGACTGTCCTTTGAGTCTATTTGTAGATTATTTGGTGGAAATTCTCTTTCATCCATTAGAGCGTTACTTGTTGAACCACTTAATCTCTCTTCAGATATTTTTAGACCTAAAATATAAAATCAGAAGAAGCACTTATAATATATGTATTATAATGGATACATAACCTTGTACTTAATGCCAGCCAATAAAGAATCAAATCAGCCAAGTGATACAGTTTAAAAGTATGGGGAAATTCTTTCAATCAGTAATCCTTTATCCCATTGTAAGTCTTAAAGCAAAAATACAAAAAATTATCTATAAACTGGCATTTTTATCCAATTATAATAGGTTCCAGCTACCTGACCAATAGCACAGCTGATATTTACAGCAGAGCTTATAGAGCTACAGCTGAAGTAATGAGAAAAACAAAAAGATAAACAGAAACCACCCCCGCCACCCCCCATAACCCATGGCTAAAACAAAAGCATTCTTGACACATAAGATCATAGCTAGACTAAAATAAAAATAAACCACAGAGGAATAAAAGCAGAACAACTTTTAATTCTGCCAGTGATGGTATCACATCAAATATGCAGATAAATTAACTCTGTTCCAAGAATCAGATGAAAGTAGAACCTGTTTATTGACTCAGATTGTCACTTTATCTTCAAGAAAACATTCAACATGTCTTCAGGATACACAGAAGCAGATGGTTTGTTAGTAAAAAAAACCACCCTAATCTCCCACTTACTCTCAGCAGGGGTCAATTTTCCCTTTTTGTGAACATGCAACTCTAATCAATGCTGCAGTTAGATGCATATTCAGAAGAAAAAAGAGTAACTTAGCAGCAGAGTTACATGGTACTTAGACAGGACCATTATTGTATCAGTTCCTATCTTTAGTTTAAGAAGCATGGCAATACTGCTGATTTAACTTAGCAACTATATAGATGAAATATGGCTCCATTCCGCACATCTCATTAGATTTAACTCACATACTTTAAACAGTGAAGCCAAAAATCAGCAAGCACTCCTGTATTACAGAAGAGATCAGACAAGCCTCCTACAGCAGCTTCCAATCCTTTCTTTTTAATGAAAAGGCTTTTTAGGAATCCTGGCTTCACCAGGCTTTCTTCAGTCTTACCAGCTGAGGTAACTGAAATGCACACTTGCTAAACATGCAAGATGATGTCTCATTTTTTCATTCATTGCTAGAGGAATTCAAATTGCAGAAAAATGGAAAAAAACAGAGAGTAAGTAGATTTTCCTTTATATAAAGAAACATGTTTCTATTAAAGATAACTAGAATGATTTTTCCTAAAATTATTCCTTCACAGCCTTTTTAAAAGGCTGGAGAAAAGAAAACATCACTCCTATCTTAGAGAAGGACAAGGAGGAGGATTCAGGAAGCTACAGGCTGCTCAGCCTCGCCTCAATCCCTAGAAGGTGATACAGTAAGTAATCCTGGAAACCATTTTCACACATGGAATTGACAAGAAGGTCACCAAGAGTAGACAGCGTGGATTTATGATGGGTAAATAGTGCTTAACCAACTTGATACGCTTCTACAAAGAGGTGAAGCTCAGCAGAGGAGAGAACACATGATCTTCACCTTGACTTTGGTAAGGTTTTTGACAGTCTCTAATAGCACCCTCACGACAAGCATACAAAGTACAGGCTAGATGAACAGGCAGTGAGGAGTTCCAGGGAAGCACGCAGAGAGCAACAAGCCACCATTGGCTGAGCAACACACAAGCAAAATTCAGCACCAACCAGAACAACTCCATCTTGACTTCCAGCCTGAAGATTTTGTTAACTATTTCCAGCCATACAAGTCTAACAAAAATTACTGCCTATCCTATAACATACAAAGTGTTCCAGGAGAGGTTTAGACTGGACATTTAGAAGCATGTCTTATTGAGAGGGTGGTCAAGCACTGGAACAGGCTTCCTAGAGAGGCGATTGATGCCCCAGGCCTTACAGTGTTTAAGAGGCATTTGGACAATGCCCTTAACAACATGCTTTAACTTTTGGTCAACCCTGAATTGCTCAGGCAGCTGGACTAGATGATCATTGTAGATCCCTTCCAACTGAAATATTCAATTCTATTATACAAGAATAATTAATTGTACACTAGAGACATAAGCCAGTTTCCTTTGGCAAGCAAATAAGAAAATTGGCTTTCCTTGAGCACCGGAAAGACAAAGAAGGGAACTCAGGAGAAGACACGTATCTGGAGAATGCATCTGTTCATTAGAAGGATGCTCCTTAATCAAGCCTTTTTCTCTCAGAGTTAAATATGAAATGAAACGTTAAAAGGAGGACAAAACTTTAATTAGTATGGAAAGAATAAGAATTGGAAGATATTCTGTTCAGACACCCACACATTATAGGTATGTTGATTTATTGATGGTAACTATTCTAAAGCAGTAAAAGAAATAATCCCAAACACCAAGTTAAACTTGAAAGGTTCACTTCTTATTCCTCCTAGCATATGAAATAGTAACTACTGCTGCCCTCCCCAGCTCATAGATTAAATTATACACTGAACAAAAAAGGTTGAAGTAAATTGCTCAAAGCCAATGAGGAATTAGGTTTAACAGCAAGAATTAAAAACCATTATGTCCTACCACCACTCTCTTGCTTCTACCCATAGACAACAGTTTATCCTTTCAACAGTTAACACACGGAAACACAGGCATGAATGCATTTGAGCAAGGTGTTTCCTATTAGATTGTGCAAAATGAGGAAAAGATGCTTTTGACAGGTGACATTTTCTATAGAGGAAGCTAACATTTTGATAGAAAATATTAACTCATTTCCTTTTAACATGTGGCTAAAATGATAGTCCCTCTGGAGAGCAGAGATCAACCTTTTGTAGTTTGCTGTTTGAAACTCAGTATTTCTCCAAATAAAAGCAGCCCTGAAAATCTATTCCTTTCTGCAACCCTTATGACTCCTTACAGAAAGAAAATCCAGAAAGACATAAGTTCAAAGAATTTAGAATGGTCGTAGCCTTGATCTTTTAAAGGATTCCCCCTATCTCAACACCTCCCCAGATGAAACTTTTTTTCCTTCCTGTTTTTCAGTGCTGTGACCTGCAATTCCTTTTAAGTTTACTGACACAACAGGCAGGTACCAAAGTGAAGCTAAGTCCTGCGAGAATGAACTTTAGCTCTGTTTAAAAACACAAGTAGAAAACCATATTTATGAACAAAAATGGAATTAGAATCACTAGTTATTTGAACTATATTTAACAGATTATTAACATGCATTTACTGTATTTACTGTTTTGTCATTGAAATGAACTGTACACACAAACAACACACTAAGAAAAAAACGTTTCTTCCTAGGCACATCCTTTTTGCCTTAACTGGTTGCCCAAAATTGAAATAAAAGCTAACACTTTTATTAGATGGTGATGAATGAAAAGTGCTTCAGTTCAGTTGCCACACAAATTCATAAATCATGGTGATTATAGCACAAATCAAACATGAGATGGAAAGTACTTGGCAAATGGCTAAAAGACAAAGTCTGTATTAAAAAAATCAGTTGTAGGTTTGTTTGCTTTCAGACAGAGACTATGTATGTTATAGAAATGTCTTTCAGGTCAATTTCAACTTAAAAAAAGCCCATGCTCTTCAGGGGTCTCTTTCATGTACTTCATAGAACTTCGACAACTTTTGCAGTTGCTCATTTCTCTGTGTGTCTTTCTTCCATCTGTCCTTACTAAGGAAACGTAACCTCAAATACAGTTGGTTGGATTGTACTCTTAAGAAAAGGTTAGAACTGGGATCCTTCCTAACCTCTCACAGCCAAAATTTGAAGAGGGCATTAAAAAAAAACAAACCAAAGCCACAAACAAACAACACCCCACCCCAAACCCTCATGCTAACACAGCTCCTCTATCCTGCAAAGCTGGTGGGGCTTGTAAATGTTTACTGAGTATATAGCTTAGTATTTAACTTACTGATCTCAGAAGTATCTGATGGAATAGATCAAGATCATAACATCGTATCTGCTGGCTAAAGGCTAAAAAGGTTCTAACATTTAAAAAGTTTATGGCAAATAATTTTTTATTTGACTGTCTTCATATAGCTCCTCTTCCAAAGACACTGTTTTCCCTCTCTCATTCTCATGCCACTCAATTATTCTATGTTAATTACGCAGATTTAAGTCTATTTCTTCAAAAGTCAGCTTCCCCATTACATCACCTATATTGCTCTGTTTGAATTGATCAGATATTTCAGACAGGTTCCTGGTGTTGCCTCTACTCAATCTTTTCATTAACTTCAGTGATAAAACACAATAAATATATAAAATCTGCAGACACACTATTTTTGAGGATTTAATTCAAAATTAATTGTAGCAATAAGTGCTCCAAGAGGCATAACATAAAATTCACTAAGACAAACAGAACACACTGTATCTTTTAGAATAAATGAGGCACATCTATATGAAATACGAATTAACCAGTCATTCTGTTCTGATGAAAAGCATCTCAAAGAGATACCAAACAGAAAACTGACTGCGAGTCCAAGTTTTTTTTTCTCCTGAGATATAATACAGCAAATGTTACAGGCACAAGAGAATTCATTATGCCCTAGCAGACATTAATCAATTACAGCCATCTATTTCTGTTTGTGCACAATATACACAAACTAAGATGTACACAAATAAGAAAACCTAGATCACAGTGAGGCAAGAATTTTGGAGAGAAAAGGGACAGCACTATCTGTGGTAACAGTCATTCGGCTTAGAAAAGGTTCTCATATGAACAACCAAACAGATGTGTAGAGATTTGTGGAAGCCTCATCCTTTCAAAAGACAAATTAAGCAAGTTTCAGGTTTAAGAACAGGTAAAAGAGATAGTATCTAGGATTAAGGAAGATTCATTTTCTTCATTGTTGCAGGGTTTTACTTGTTTGTTTGCTTAAATTACAAGCAGCTTCAGAAGTCCTAGAGGAAAGAGAAATTCAACCTGATTCTGTGAAAAGGAAACAGGACTTTTTTAAACCCTTATCTTTACAGAGCTGGTGCTTTTACCAATAGAACAAAAAAGGAAAACTGTAGAAACACTGAAATTTAAATAATGGAGGAACCTAACCCATATATTTCTTAAATAGAA